TTGTTGCTTTGTATGTCCCTCCCCCATGGTATAACCCCTGCTTTCACTGTATTTGATGTTGGTATAATTTGTGGAGGGGAAGGGAAAAAAGAAATTATTTAAATGGGGATACAGGTGGATCCATTGCTATAATGAGATATACAAGAGAGTATGTCAAAAAACGAACTTTACAGTTTTGCAGGGGGGGGGGACAGAGAAGATGGGAGGGGATGGGAAGGGGAAACAAAGGAGGCAACAATGCTTGATAAAAAAAATGTACTCATTACCTTGCTCATGTAATTGTAACCACTCTATATGGTATTTTCACAATTAAAAAAAATCCTAAATTTGTATTCAATTTCCTAAGTACCATGTTAATCTACTGTGTATGCTACCTCTAAACTCTTGTATTAACTCCACTCCCATGTCACCAACAAGACATTTTCCTATGGCTGTCTCATGGATTCAAAATCAACCTCTTCAAAAACTTAAGTGATTATAATATTTTGAATTCTAACAAGGTCTAGGCAAGGTCCAACTTCTTAGGCAAATTTTTTATCTGTCCTTTCTGGGCCTTTCTAGCCATACAACAGACAAGGGTCTCATATCTAAAAGATACCTGGAACTCAAAAAATTAAATCCCCAACAACAAATCCTCAAAGAAACAACTGCCCAATAAATAAGTGGGCTAAAGACTTAAAGAGAAACTTCTCTGAAGAGGAATGAAGGATGGTATAGTATAAATTCTATAAACAATATAAATTCTATAAAACAAAAAGGGAAATTCTTCAAAGGGATAATCCGAACACTTAAGTTGAGAAGCATTGAAGTGTTGAAAACAGTTCTTCATGCACTGACAAGCTATCTCTGGCTCTCTATTGATATTTCTCTTAAATATCATCTATGATCAACAGTTTACATAGCTTTGACCTTTTCTCTCAGGATCAATTTTATTCCAGCCTCCTAACAAATCCATAATTTCTAATTTTTAATACTTTCACGGACTCATTTATCATCAGCCTCCAGTTTCTTCTTTTATCTAATACAGATCACCATCTAATATCACAGTTCTCTTCCTGATCAACCCAGCTCAAAAGCATTCAGAGGCCTACTAACCACCAAAAGAGTTCCCACCTATGCAGCCCTTCATTCTACAGTATAACTGCAGCCCAAATTCATCTCAAAGCTTACAATAAAGTATTATGAGCATTCAAGCTCAGCCCTCAGTGTGCCAAAGTTCATTGTATGCTTTATTCCCTGTGCTGCCTTGAATCTTCTTTCCAGTGACCAGGTACTTTGATATCACAGTCACATACTATGAACAAGGATATCATCAACAACTTCAATTTTTATCTACTTGCTTGCTTCTGTCCTTGAACCTACCCATTACAGTAAATTCTATAACATTGTTATAAATTTTATCCTTTTTTAAGGTTTACTTATTATCTTTAAGTAGTTGCACAAAGGAGTTACCATTTAAAAATGCAGTTTATGACTGCAATATATCTTAATCTTAAACCTGGAGCAGCAACAACAACAAGGTTAAGATGGTTAATTCTAGAATATAAGCCACAGACTAGGGTGTATGCCTGCTAGTCAGTTTCATTGGTTTTTTATTTCATTTTTGAAGTAAAAGTTTTCTCACATTCAAGGTCTACCCGCAACAAACTGAGTAACACTGACAATTTTTCCTTCCTCTAGAACTCAATAAGAATCTAACATCCCATCTCAGCCAGTGAGCCTTTTTATATATAACAAATATTGTTCTACTTTTCTTTTCTTCTACTATTGTAAAAGAAATCCATGGGCTGGGAAGGTGGCTCAGTGGTAGAGTGCTTGCCTTGCATGTGAGGCCCTGGGTTCGATTCCTCAGCACCACATAAGCAAAAAGAAAAAAGCCGGAAGTGGCGCTGTGGCTCAAGAGGGACAGCGCCAAGGCCCAGAGTTCAGGCCCCACGACCGGACCCCCCCCCCAAAAAAAAAAAACAAAAAAAAAAGAAATCCTTACACAACAGCATGTGGAGAAAAACAGAAGTGCTAAGCACACGAGAAAGGAAGACCTACCTCCTCGGAAAAATCTGAGGTTACTGAACAGAATGTTTCAACTACCGGTGTGCAATCTGCTAAGAAAAGGTTGAATGAAGTAAGAGAGAGAGAGAGATCTATTTTATTTGGTAAAAATAAAGTAACTGACAAGCTCGATGATCGGTTTAGTTAAATAGGAATAAGCTGAGATAAACTAAAATACAATGAAGAACAAATGATGCAAAAGTCTTCAAAATTAAGCAGAATGTGACATGATTATAAGAGGTACTGGATTCTTGGTTTGCTTTTTTAGCTAGGGCCTTTGGCTTACTAGGCAGTCACTGGACCATTTGAGCCAGGCCCCCAGCACATTTTGTCTTTGGTTACTTTTCAGGTAAACTTTTTCTCGTTTCTGCCTGGAGAGAGACTCAGACTACATTCCTCCTTCTTAAAGCCTCCCTTGTAACTTACTGATTGAAATAAATCTCTGTAACTTTTTGCCCATTGCTCCAACCTTGATCTTCCCAATGTCTGCTGAGGGTTTTCTGACCCCTCAGCCTAAAGAGTCCAATAAGAGAAAGAACAATGGACATTAAAACCAGCCCATACAGAGATGTATAATGCACCATTATAAGCCTCATACAAACACAAACAAGAGTGCCTACCTTCCCTGATTGCTGTGAAAGGTGTACCTTCTTCTTCTTGCAGCCTGATCACCTTCAGGGCTACTAATTTCCCATTTACCCTGTGGGAAATGAAAGAAAAGATGAGAAGTGAATCTGTGAAAATGTGTGCCTAATCACCTTCCTTATGATTTATATTTTATGCAATTTTTGCACTGAAAATTTCAGTGACTCAATTACACCACCACAGCAAGATTAATTCCAGAAAGATTGGGAATGCTATAGCATCATCAAAAATATTCACATTTTAAATATTCACACTTGCATTGGCCAAGATTTAACTCCAGTTTTCTGTGAGTCACTCTGTCCCTTCCAGAATCAAAGTAATATTTAACAAAATTACACACACTTGATGATTATTCTCAGATCAATTTAAAATGAAGCAGTCAAAATAATACTTTTCCTTTGTTTCGCCAAACGCCTTCTGGGTTGATTTTGCTGATCTGTCTATCTTCAGTTTTGGATAAGGTCAATCAGTTCTCAAGGACAGAAACGACACTCAGTTTTCCTCTCCTTTCTCCCTCTCAGTAACACACTCCCCATTTTTCCTTTAAAACAAAAGTCTCCTGGGATTATACTTGATCTGGTTGTTTTTGTATGATAGCAGATGATGACCAAAAAGTTATGAATATACTATTACAAGATGACACAAGACCCAGCTATCCAAAGCAGATGGTTCTTCCAGACACATTCTAAATGTGTGTAAGCTCAAATGAAAAGTAAGATGAAACTATGGAGATAACTATTTATCCAGTCATTCCTGTTAGTAGTCAAATTTATGACTATCTAAATCAGTTTTGTTTGATCGATATTCTACGTTTGCTAGGCTGAGAGGTATACTTTACTTGGTTCATTTGTTAAAATGTGAATATTACAAGAAAGAATTTGGTGAGATGTAAATTTCCATTCCACATAATTCTTCTGGAACCCAGCTCTCATCCTTAGATGTCAGCACTTACCATTATTCTTTATTTATTTTCACATCTATAGAGTTCCATATATATCACAAAAATAAATGCACACACATCCATATTCATGTAAAGAGCATATATAAACAAATGATAGTATGTAATACAAAGTAATACTATATGTTGTTTTTGTCCTTTAACAATGTGGTAATTTATGAATTATAAATTCACAGAAAACTGCCTCTAGTTTTTAAAGGGCCAGAGGATATTCCTTTGTATAATAGAGCATAATAAATTTAATTCCAGTCCTCTACTACTGGGCATTTAGCTTGTTCCCAATTTTTTGCTACCTTAATGGTGAAATGTATATTCTTATATATGAAATTTTACTCATAAGCATGTCTGTATGATAAATTCCTTAAAAAAGAATTGGAAGTTCAAAAGGAACGCATATTTAATTTCTTAACTTTGATGAATATTAGAAATATATGGTAGATAAAGGAGAAATTTAGCCTTTCTTATAGTAACACAAAACTTCTTATTCCTTCCCTCTATCAACTATACAATAATACAATGATGTTTCATTTTGCCGGATTGATAGGTTAAAAATGGTTTCTTCTTGCAATTTATAATGCTACCAAAAATATTGAGAATCATCATAAAGGAGAGTTCATGTGGCCCAGACAATCCAGTACCTGAGTTTGAAATTAACATTTTCAATTTGTTTAACTATATCTACTTTGTCTGTTTTTGCTCAAAATGCAAAAACAGACACAAACGGCCAAGGCATTCAGCAAAGCCGCCATCGTCGTGGCACTTCCTTCTGAACTGACTGACTTCTGGTACTTTACTATAGGTTTTGGTAATGCCAAGGCATTCAGCAAAGCCCGCCATCGTAGTGGCACTTCCTTCTGAACTGACTGACTTCTGTACTTTACTATAGGTTTTGGTAATGCCATAGGACACCCAGTTACAAGGCTCCACAACTTGGCTTGTCCTCCAGATTACAAGTTGTGCTGATTTTTTTCCTTGGCTTTCAGCTGGGAGGATAGATGTACCTGCTGTTTTTCTGCTCCACAATCTCTACTCCTCATACATAACCTTGATTCCTCTAATCCTATTTGTGCTCCAGGTACCCAGGTGCAGGCATAAAGAAATGATTATGCATGTGGGTTCAGCTGGAGACTGTACTTTGTCCTTCAGGACTGAGGGAGCCTTTGGCAGGACTTGAGGCTGCAAGGCAGTCAGTGCTGACATCTGTACAGATTTTTCTCAGCCCAGTTGAGCTCATCACTGGCTCCCTGAGGAGGCAGTAACTGATTCCAGGAATGACTTGGAATTTTCCCTTCATTTACAGATATTTTCCCCTCACCCATAAAACACATACATACACAACCTTCTTCCCATAAAACCTCCGCATTTCTCTTGAGAAGTATTGACTTGCATGTACAGGAACTGAATTATTAAATAAAGGGTCCTCATGCTTTTGAAAATTATTTTTATTCATTTATTTTTTAATTTTTTATTGTGAAAATATTGTACAGAGGGGTTACAATTACATGGGCAAGATAATGAGTATATTTCATATCAAGCATTGTAGCCTCCTCCTTTGTTTCCCCTTCCCATCCTCCCCAACGCCCCTCCACCCAATCCTCCTCACCCCCCCCCACCAAAGTTGTAAAGCTTTTGAAATTATATACTTAAAATCCGCAAAGCAATGACTAGTCAGTATACATTGAAAGCAGGCAAGCCTTTAACTGAGTATCTAAATGTAATTAAAGTTGGAACTCCTGTGAGTAGTCATGAAGACCGACTTGTATAATTCTGTAGTGAGGAAAAAGAATTGAACATACTTTCTGTCACTGTTTAAAAGAGAAAGACCCACATTATGGAATTCTAATTCTGAAATCAGCATAAATTAAATTTCCAAGTGTTCCTTTTTTATAGGCTATGAGAAATGCAATGGTTGACTTTGAGATTTTATGTAGCGTATTATCTGAAATTAAAATTTCTTTAAAATTTATAGGACACTACAGCTTCTGGAGTTAAGAGATCTATTAACTGATAAGTGCTCAATAGTTGGAACTTTCCTAGTACAGGGTGTGTGTTACTGAATGAATAGAGATACTGTTAAAATACACCGCATTTGCCCATACATATGCATAATAAAATATAAGGCATACAATTATTTCCAAAAATTCCAGAAATATTAAACATTCTATAAAACTTTCAACATCATCTTTCATGCTTTATTTAACTGTTCCTTTACTTTCTTTTTTGAGGTAGAATATGAAGTCCCTGTTGTTGATGCATGTAAATAATACAGACAAGTTTTCATTCTCCAGAAGTTTTAAAATTTTAGAATGCTTTGTTAATTAACCTTTTCACACCCAATACATGTTTGAAAACACTGTCGTTTAGTAATTTGATGACAGACTACTAATCAGCATCTCACTCTTCTCCAATTATTTCATTGGTTTTTCCATTAAAAATCACATTGATCATCAAATTGCTCTTTAACCTGAGTCGCTATGACTTTCTCCTGTCTTAATTAGTTTTTCCTCTACTATCTGGACACTTACCAATGGCTGAGTCCCTCATTTTTAAGGCCAAATAAACATGTTAAGTCATTAGCTCTGTCTTTGGTAAAGGGATACTTTCAAAAAAATATTAAGAAATTTTGAATGTTCTAGAATTATGTGTATCTGTCTGTCTTAAACTTTAGGATGGCTTGAATTACTTGAAATTCTAAGTTACTAAGTGATGCAAAACATGTCCTTTTAAAGATATCAAAAGAAGCTATTGTTCTTTGATAAACAAGAATATAGTATCTTTCAATTATCTTGTAGATTTAAGTACTTTATGAAGGCTCAAAACATATAATTTAAGCATTGATGTAAAATCATTTAAAGATAAAATTCAAGTCAAATCAATAAATTCAAGTCCTTTACAGGAAAACACTGAAGGTTCCTCTTGAATACATCTTATTAATTATATCAAAAGCTAATAAATAGAAGGCAATCAAGGTTTGATTTCTAGTGGAAACACTAATTCAGGTAAATAATGTAGCTAGAAAAATGTTTCAAAAATTGTTGATATTACCATAAAATGCTCTAAGCTACACAGAGACCCATTTTATTTAGTGATCTTCTATAATGTTATTAGGTTATACACCTGCCATTGCCAGCAACGTGGTTTCACTGTAAGACACAATCCAGGATCATCACGTGGGTGGAGATTCTGATTACAGCACAAAGCAAAGCTGCAAACTTAGCCTAGACAGCTCCATGCCCAGAGAACTGGGACATAGGATGGCAAAGCTGTGCTGAAGTAGATCAGGCATTCAAACTGGTTCAAATTCAACCTCTGCCAACTTCAGAAATCTGCCTTCAATTTTTGGTACCCTTTATATCATAGATTAAAAATTATTAAGTGAGAATGAAAGTGTGAAAGCTTTGAATAAAGAGAATAGCTTGTTATTTTATTTATCTATTCATTCATTTGCTCATTCAAAGATTTACAAACTCTATAAAGTAAACCCCTTGCTTCACTCAGGGTATATTTTGTAATTTGAAAAGATGATGGTCAAAGAGAATTTCCTTACAGATAAAAAAATTCTCATAGGAAAGCCTACAGGTTTTCTATTCCATTACTTACCTCAAATTAATAGGATAACAAAATACAATAAAACAAAATTACAAAAATTATCTAGGTCATCTCTAAAAAGATGTCCATGTGCTAACACCTAGAAGAAATTATAACTGGAGGATATAAATGAAATTAAAGCAATATACCTAAAAAGAAATTTAATAAACCCTGGGAAATTTAATATATTCTGCCTCTCTCATCCATTTTTATTTTGTCTCAAGAGAAAGTACTAAGGAAAATATTACCAAGTGCAGGCAGATACACCTAGCCTTTTCTTTCATACAGTTAGGACTCAATAGTGAACAAATGAGCCAAACCCTTACGATGTAAAGGAGATTCTAGAATCCCTGCTGTTCTTAGTTATTCAGCCTCTTCCAAATCACCACAAGCAACAACACACAACTACCAGCCTGTGACACTTTTAGGTAGTCATAAACATTTACCCATGTTTAATAAACAAATAAGATATTCATGATACGAGGTATTCTCTCATCCACTGGTTTAAC